TTTTCGCAGTATCCATCTTTCTTGTCTAAATTGAATAATAAAAACAAATGAAAGTCGATATTCAAATGTTTCAAATTAAAAAAAAAAAAATCACAGAAACCATTTGAAAAAAGTTTCATTCGAAACCTCACACCATGAAGATTCTATGAAAATTCATACTTTAACCCCTCATAGTAAAGCACACTGTACAACCGCATTTTTTGTACAGTATTCTACAAATTATCTTATATCCCTCGTCATTCACCAATATTTATGACAAACAAACATTCCAACGAACACACACAATGGCATTAGTCCACCGTGACCAATGACTTTTGGCAATATTTCCTTTGTAAACAAGTCACAAAACCTAGATTTAAGTGCAGCTCAATATAGATTTATAGACTTGGCTGTAAGAGCGATTCTTATCCATGCGGGCTAAAAGCTAGTTCAATTTTATTTACTGCCTACACTTCTAGACTGGAAATGAACAATATTATCATTATCATTTTTAATACAAAGATCGACACTTAGACAAAAATTCCTTCGCCGCAAAAATTCAGCCGAATGGCTGGATTTGATTCAACGTCTTCCAGAAACCGTGCCAGACGCTATGCTAAATAAGCCGAGGAACAAACTAGCGGACCTTAGCGCCATATGTGAGAAATTTATTTATGAATAAATCTCAGCCAGCGACTGCCTCGAGATGTCGCTTTAATAATTGTAATTTTTTTAAATTTTTTATTGAATGTCACGTTTGAGTACCATGATATTCAATTATTTTTTGAAATTACTCGTCATATTTTATAATAATATACTTTATCTACACACATATCATAAACTCTCTATAAAGTGTTCAAAAACCGCACATTACCTCTAGCATAAAGGTAAATTGTTTTGTTAGAATAAATTTCTTATCTGTGAAAATATTATTGTTTCATAGTAACAACGAACTCGATGTTATTATTATATTCAAATTTCGAACATACCTGAAAAACAAAACAATTTGATTTGACCTCAATTCTAATATCAGTCGAGATGAAGTTTTATTCGAAATGAAATGTTAATGGCAAACAATTTTTGACAATTTCACACGTTACTTGATATAGAACGATATGATAGCTGTGGCCGATTCTGTTTTTGTTTATGAATTAAAAATAAAAACTACGGTTGTGTGACATGCGTGAGAAAAGTTTTCATTTGCCGCCATTTCGCCAGTCGTAACATGCGGTTCCTGAACACATCACAGAGAGCTTAAAATATGTGTGCAGATAAAGTTGTGTATGTAACTGTACTTAATTAGGTTTTTAAACACTCGTGAGATGTTAATAACCTACACTCGTATTACAAAAAAATGTCTTCAGTTTGGTAGTATCGATATATTATTACTTCTATACTAAGCAAAATTAGTAGATATACTGTTTGGTTAATTTCGTACCCTTGGTATATTGTTATAACCATATGGCTTCAATATATATATATATATATATATATATATATATATATATATATA